GGGCCCGGGGACAGTGCCAGGGGTGGCCGCTGGTGCCACCCTCCTCCTCCTCCTCCTGCTGCTGCTGCCATCTGCCACCGCAGGGGACACACGGTGCGGAGGAAAGGGGACATCAGGTGGTGTTGGGGCCGTGCCCACACCTGTGGCATTGCGGGTTCCTGTCCCCTCTGGCACGGGGACAATGCCAGCACCTGTGGGGTGAGTGGGGCAGGTCCCAGCTGCAGAGGGGACTCTGAGCCACCCAAAACCACGGCGACACTGGGACAGAGCGAGGCTGTGGCAGATGGAGTGGGGACACGGGGACACCGAGACACAGGGATATGGGGACACGGGGACATGGGAACACGGGGATATCGGGACACGGGGACACGGAGACACGGGGACAGTCGGACACGGGGACATGGAGACATGGGGACAGTCGGACACAGAGACACGAGGACAGGAGACTCAGGGACACGGAGACACAGGGACATGGGGATATCGGGACACAGGGACACAGAGACACGGGGACACGGGGATATCGGGACACGGGGACACAGGGACACGGGAACAGGAGACTCAGGGACTCAGGGACACGGAGACACAGGAATATGGGGACACGGGAACTCGGGGATATCGGGACACGGTGACACTCAGACATGGAGATATGGGGACACGGGGATATCGAGACTCGGGGACACGGGGACACGGGGACACGGGGACACGGGGACACGGGGACACGGGGACACGGGGACACGGAGCCAGCCCGCGGCTCTCCTCTCCTCTCCTCTCCTGCCGCACCGCCATGAATCCGTGCAGAATCCCGTGCGAATTCCCGCAGGGAACAGCTCCCAACTCCCTGGGAGCGCTGGCAAACGGGGAAGGGCGGGCTGGGGGGCAGGAGCTGCAGCTGAGCCCGTCTCCAATCGCAGAGGGAGGCCCCAAAAAACTGCGCAGCACCATCCGCAGGAGCACCGAGACCGGCATCGCCGTGGAGATGAGGACCAGGGTGACCCGGCAGGGCAGCCGGGAATCCACGGACGGCAGCACCAACAGCAACAGCTCGGACGGCACGTAAGGAACGGGGCAGGGATGGGGATCCCGGAATTTTTCCGTGAAAATCCTTCGTGGGTTTGTAAGAGGTAAAATGAGGGATGCGGGGCTCCAGGCGGCTCTTTAAAATGGTGTTTATTGTATCCAGATGAAGCAGCGATTTATTTG